TGCATGGAGCACTGGGTGTTATATGAAAACAATGAATCGTGGATCACCACATCAAAAACTACTGATGTATTGTATGGTGACTAACATAACATAATAAAATTAAAAACAAAACAAAACTTTGACTTTAAAAGAAAAAAAATAGATGTCACAAATTGGCTGAAACAACAAACTTAAAATTTAAAAAGCGGGGGGAAATTAGAGGGGGAGATGAACCATGAAAGACTATGGACTCTGAGAAACAAACTGAGGGTTCTAGAGGGGAAGGAGGTGGGGGGATGGATTAGCCTGGTGATGGGTATTGAGGAGGGCACGTATTGAATGGAGCACTGGATGTTATACGCAAACAATGAATCATGGAACACTACATCAAAAACTAATGATGTAATGTGTGGCGATTAACGTAACATAATAAAAAAAAAGCAGTGGATGTGTCTTGCGTGTTTTATATTTTATATCTTGGATTTAGCACAGACTCATTTGTGGGAGCTGCCTTTATCCTCCATGTAGGTGCGATGTAAGTATGTGTAAGTGTGGGTATGTATAGCTGAACATGTATTTAAATGGAGGGGGCCTTAGAAAACTCCTTTTGTGTTAACTACTCTACTGTACACAAATGTTTTTCTATCACTTATAAATACACAGGGTGAACACTGAATATGCAGAGGGTAGTTGATCCTAGTTGATTAACATACAGGAGGTTAAAAAACAAGGTCATCTTGTAAAGTAATTATGAATAACTTTTTTAAAAATTAGGAATAACTTTTTAACTAATTAAAATTGTTCCATTATCTCTTTATTCTACTCTTAAGTTCTGTTTGTATGGAAATTAGATACTTAGAATGGAAATAAAAATGAAAAAATTATCTCCTTCGGACCATACCCTGTTCCCTTCTGAAATTATTCTATTGTAAAAGTAAGCCCCCTGGATACTCAGATTTGTGGCAGTTTGTGCTGGACAGGGAGCTTCCTTAGAAAGAGCCACCCTGTCACCTTTCCCCTAGTCACCGTTGGTCCCTCAGCCCAGGGGCCCTGAGCTCTTTTTCTCTCTGTTGGTCACCGATTAACTCTGGGAAGAGATACACTGGAGAGCGGGGGAGCTCTCGGGTTCATGGGGGAGTGGCTGAGGATTGCTCTGAGTTAGAGACACCTTTTTCTCACCAAGGATATGACAATCGCTCTCCTAGACTTTTCCCAGATGCCTGTTTCCATTCGGTTTAATTCAACACAGTTCCGGGAGGCTAGAGATATTCTGGGCAGCAGATAATGACCTTATCTCAGCTCCCATCAGGTCTGGATTGTCTCTCCAAGGGCTGTGATACTCAATCCTAATGGCCTCGTGCTGGTTCTTTCTAGGCTCCTTTCTTGTCTCCCCTAGATAGTTGTCTGGGGGCTGCATCAGTACCTGGTGGCCCCAGCCTCCTCACCACCCCACATCACCCCATGCATCTTATGTAAAAGATTTCTGCTCCCTCTCTCTAGCCCCTGGAACTGCAGAATCACCTGATCCCAGCAGTTTCTCAGCTCCTAATCACCATAACTAAACAACCAAGCTGCCTCTCTGGCAGTTGTTTTGATCCTTATCTTTTAACACTGCAAGCTTTTTTTTATTTCTTTGACCTATCTTATCTTATCTCCTGCCCCTCTCACCCACCCCTCTCATTTTATTTACCATGAGTTATAAATGAGGAGCTCTGACCGACAACAATCCTCAGAGCAGTGTCTTCCTATGTTCTTTCTTTGGAGAGAGAAGTCATTCTGGCTTCAACTAGTATTTCTCAGGCAGCCGAGTGTAATTCACAGGTGAGCAAAAACAACTTTTTTCTTTTTATGGGAGCCAGTTCAAGCCACAGAATAATGGTTAGATTAAAAAAAAGTTTCATTAAGTCCTACGGCATATATATACACACACACACACACATACATATATTCTTATTCTTACACTGTAAAGGACTGTATCAATTGGATTAAAATCGTCCATAAGGAAGTCGAAAGCGTTCTAGTCATTAAATGTTACTAAGTAACAAGAATTCAACTGAGTAAATTTAAACATCGGATTGGCTTCATTTGATGATTCTTGAATCTGGCAGCATTTCATCTCTTAAAAAAGTCCCATTGAGTTTTAGAAAAGGGAAGGTTTTTGAAGGCAGAGAGGGAGTGAAAAAAGAAATTATTTATCGTACAATGCATTATTTTAGGCAAGGTGGCTCTCCTAAGGGGAGTTTAAGGATTAATTCCTAGTGCAGGCTCTGGGGAAATTCTAGGTTGGCTAATTAAAGTTCACATTTCTGGGAGAAGCTGAAGCTGCAATGAGGATAGGTATTAAGTCTTGGTGGGGTTTAGAGTAAGTGACTCCATTTTGGGCCTGTTGTCTTCTTTT